TTAGGAGAACACAATAGCGAGCACCTCTGCGAGACACACCAAGCAGGCCGGGGGTACCATGCAACTCTAGCATGCACAAACATTCAACAAATCCAAGCAATGCTTGAATTGGTCAGAAGTAACAGTCTTAGTCAACATATCAGCAGCATTCTCTTCAGTATGAACTTTCTCCAACTGAATATCACCAGAAGCAATCCATTCCCTAATCTTGCGGAACTTCACATCAATATGCTTCGTCCTAGCATGATATATCTGATTCTTAGCCAAATGAATGACACTTTGACTGTCACAATGTACTAGAACTCCACCTTGCTGAATACCCAACTCTCTAACCAATCCAGCAAGCCACGCTGCTTCTTTTGCCGCTTCAGCCAAAGCAATATACTCAGCTTCAGTTGTAGATAGAGCAACTATAGTCTGAGTATTCGACCTCCAACAAATAGGCCCTCCACCAAAAGTGAAGACATACTCAGTGGTAGATCTCCTATTATCCAAGTCCCCAGCATAATCAGAATCCACATATCCTACAACAAAAGGATCCAACCGCTGATCTCCAAACACAATACCATGTCCCGCAGTACCTTTCAAATATCTGAAAATCCATTTGACTGCCTCCCGATGTTGTTTACCCGGCCTAGACATATACTTGCAAACTTGACCAACAGCATAAGCTAAATCAGGACGAGTACATACCATGGCATACATCAGACATCCAACAGCACTGGCATAAGGTATCTCCACCATATCCTGAGTCTCCTTGTCCGACTTGGGGCACTGATCAACAGAAAGCTTGAAGTGGTTTGCTAATGGAGCGCTCACCAGTTTTGCTTCATTCATCCCAAACCTCTGTAGCGCCTTCTCCACATAACCCTTATGAGATAACCACAGCTTCTTCGATCCTCTGTCCCTGTGAATCTCCATCCCAAGAATCTTCTTGGCAGCCCCCAAACCCTTCATCTCAAATTCCTGACTCAAAAGGCTTTTCAGATCAACAATATCACGCATATTCTTTGCAGCAATAAGCATGTCATCAACATAAAGTAACAGAAAAATCATAGAACCATCACCAAGGCTCTTAGTGTAAACACAACAATCGAACTCACAACGCTTGTAGCCAATCTTCAGCATATACGAATCAAACCGTATATTCCACTGTCGTGATGCTTGCTTCAAGCCATACAAGGATTTCTTCAACCTGCAAAATAAATGCTTCTTCCCTGGTTGAACAAAACCCTTTGGCTGCTGCATGTAAATAGGCTCTGCGAGATCACCATGCAAGAAAGCAGTCTTCACATCCATCTGCTCCAAATGCAAATCCCAACTAGCCACCAACGCAAGTGCAGCCCTTATCGAAGTATGTCTAACCACAGGGGAAAATGTCTCATCATAGTCAATCTCCTTTTGCTGTGAGTATCCTTTAGCCACCAATCAAACCTTGAACCTTTCCCCTCATTTTTCTGTTACCGATGACTTCCTTGTGTAAATCCACCTACAACCAATAGCTTTCTTCCATTTGGGAAGAACATCCAACACCCATGTCTGATTCTTGTGTACAGAATTCATCTCTTCTTCCATTGCAGCCTTCCATCTATCATTATTCTCACAAGAAACAGCCTCCTGGAAAGTACATGGATCCACGCTAGTCATCGTAAGAGCAAATGCGACCATATCCTCATAACCAAACCTGACGGGACTTGTATATTGGTACGCCTCACTCTGTCTCGAGCTAACTTGTAGCTCTCTGGCACATCAGTTGGGCCAGAAACATCATGATCAACATCATCAAGTGCAGAACTCGAACTCTCCCCCTTATCAAGAACTGTTGGCACATGTTCCAACTCCACTTGTACCTTAGTTGCATCCGATCCCAACATAGACTGTTCATCAAACACTGCATCTCTACTAATCACCGTCTTCTTCTCAACTAGATCCCAAAACTTGTATCCCTTCACACCTTTCTTATACCCTAGAAAAGTGCACTTCTTTGATTTAGCATCAAATTTTGACCTCTCATCAGCAGGAATATGAACATAAGCAGGACAACCAAAAATCTTCAGATGATCAAAACTAACATCATTACCTGTCCATACTTCTTCTGCAACTTTGCCATCCAGAGATACCCGTGGTGATCTGTTAATCAAATAACAAGCCATACTTACAGCCTCAGCCCAGAAACTCTTTGGCAAACCCGCATTCAGTCTTAAACACCTCCCCTCTCAGCCAGTGTCCGATTCATCCTCTCAGAAACACTATTCTGCTGTGGTGTTTTACGCACTGTAAAATGCCTTTGAATCCCATGCTCCTCACAAAACTTCTAGAACTGTGAATCGGTGTACTCTGTACCATCATCAGACCTTAAATACTTGATCTTCCTACCAGTCTGGTTCTCAACCTTAGCCTTCCATAGCTTGAATTTAGCAAAAACTTCAGATTTATGCTTCATGAAATACACCCAAACTTTCTTCAAAAAATCATCAATAAAGGTCACATAGTACACAAAACCACCAATCGATGTCACTCTAGTAGGATCCCACACATCTGAATGTACATAATCCAGAATACCTTTTGTCTTCTTCTTTCCAGTCTTGAATCTGACTTTTGTCTCCTTTCCCAGAACACAAAACTTGCAGAAATTGAGTTTGCAAGTTTTAACACCATGCAGAAGCCCCCTCTTATGCAGTTCACTCATGCCATGTTCACTAAGATGTCCAAGACGCATGTGCCACAATTTCGTGCTATCTTCACACGACTAAACCGAATGGACTCCACCTACAACTGTACTTCCCAACAGTTTGTAAATGTTCCCTGCAGTGATCCTCCCCTTCATCACAGTCAAGGCACCCTTCACAATCTTAATGGTTTCCCTATCCTCATCAGCCTTGGGAATGAAACCATTTCTATGCAAAGTACCCAAAGAGATCAAATTCTTCTTCAACTCAGGGATATGTCTCACATCACATAATGTCCTAACAGTTCCATCATACATCTTGATTTTGACATCCCCAATACCGACAATACCGCAGCATCTATCATCACCAAGAAAAACAGAACCCGAGTTACCTGGTTTATAAGTAGCAAACCACTCTCTGTTAGGCGTTATATGATATGAACATCCAGAATCGAGAATCCAAGCATCATCATATTGCGCAGTCGAAATAGATAACATATCTCCATCACTGCAATCAGATTCCTCATTTTGTACCACATTCGCAGACTTGGATGACATATCAGCAGTCTGTTTCTTCCACTTTGGGCAATCCCGTTTAAAGTGCCCTTGTTCTTTGCACTTATAACACGTCACAGTTTTTCTTCCTTGCGATTTGTCTCGCGACTTGGATCTGAAATTCCGATTTCCTGAATTATCTCTCCCATGTTTTCTTCCACGATCCTGGTTACCCTTCACATATAAGCTGTCACTTTGAGAAGATGACTCTCCAGATTTCTGTTTCCGCTGGTTGTGAGCCAACAACGCTGAAGTAATCTCCTCAGTCTTGATCGTTTTTTTCCCATATGTAAGGGTAGTCACCATATGTTCGTAAGAAGGAGGTAACGAACACAGTAAGATCATCGCCTTGTCTTCATCTTCAAACTTGACTTCGAGTGAAGCCAAATCCGTGACAACCTGATTGAAGATATTCACATGTTGCCCTAAATCGGTCCTCTCCTGCATCTTCAGCCCGTATAACCTTTGCTTCAGATACAGTTTTGTCGTTAGGGTTTTCGACATGAACTGCGATTCCAGTTTCTTCTAGATCTCATCCGCCGATTTGAGATGCATAACGTGATACATAACTTCATCTGCGAGGCACAACCGAATCGTCCCGGCCGCCCGTTCCTGCAGATCTTGCCAATCATCGTCTTCCATCCCCTTAGGCTTTCCTGCGCGCAGCCCTTTCAGAATTCCTTGTTGCGCCAATAAATCTTTTACTTTCGTCTGCCATAATCCGAAATTGCCATGACCATTAAATTTCGAGACCTCGAATTTCGAACCTCCCGTCATCTTTGTCGCCCAATCAACTAGGCTCTGGTACCATAATTAAACTATCAATCATTTTTTTTTATTATTTATAATAATAGAAATAAATATTACATTTTATATCACATCATTTATCTTAATAAATATTAATTTTTTTCAACTCACTTATCTTCACAATCATAATTTTGTAATATTTAAAATGACTCATGATGATATCTACCAACAAATTGTTTTGGCCCTTCACGAAACGTGGGCAAGCTTCCCACTAATCACTACTAGTATTAATTCTTATGTACAAACATGTGTGTTGAGTTAATGAATATATGTGTAAAATTATTTATATTTAATACAAAACCTAATTGCAGAGCAAAAGTAATATAAAAACACCACGAAGCATAAATTTTCGCTATGTCAACATTTGAAACGTGAGAATCTGTCACCTAGATTCAACACGTTTTGAATTAATATATAAGGATGAACTTTGACTGTTAGAAATAAACAAATATTTGCTTGGTGAAATAATTGTGACAATGATACTCCATTTTGAGCAAAAGGTACCTTTCACTACTAAATATTTTATTCCGACCCAACCACTACATAAAGTGCTACTTAATTTAGCTTATGCAAATCAAATTTTTCCTTTTATTTAAAAAAATCGAAAAATCATATTAGTTGTCTCTAAAATACACTAAGCGCAAAACACAAAGACAATTTAAAAAACGTACAAACACAACAAAATGCACGAGTACTATGGTAAACTAGTTAATAAGCTAGCTAATAGTTAATAATCTAGTTTATAATTTATCAGTAATTTTTTAGTTTAAAAGCTAACTTATATGATGATAAAATTGTTTGGTAAAATTAGCTGATAAGCTACTTGGAATAAAAAAATTCAAATAGCTTATTTGAAAAGCTATTTAAGTAAACTTATCAAATAAACTCGAGTTCTTCTAAAAAAGTCCGAGGCTTACTTAAATACAAAGAGCTTATAAGTTAATTAAATAAGTTATAAGCTAGCTTATCTGTCTACCAAACATAAGTTTGATAAACTTAGCTGAAAGCTAGTTGTAAGCTCGTAACTTGTAATCTTTTTAGCGCTCGCATTTCAGTAAACCTTGAGCTTAAATTTGGATTATGATTAAAATGCAACCTCAATTAATAAAAGTAAAAGTGTTTGGACTATATGTATTCTAAAAAAAATTCAAGACCTTTTAGAGAAAAGCTATATAAGAAAGCTTATAATTTTCAACCTCTTTAATAAACAGTAAAAGTTATTTAATAAAAACCTAAAATATAATGTCCAACTTAAAAAAACAAATCGTGTTACCAAATTAAATTTATTCAAATACATAAGTATTAGTTGATTTAATCAACCATAATCCAACATTCATGAAATAAGAAGTTAAATTAATTAAATTCAATGTCATAATTAAATTCAATGTCACAGTTAATCAACCATAATTAAATTTTATTTTTTATTTTTGTTTAAATACTGCTTTACCGATGAAAAAGATAAACCCGCCCAAAACTCAGCATCAGCCTAAAAAATACTCCCCAAAAAATGTCCGCAGAAAAGCTCACCGTCCTCAGCCGCAGCGCCGTCGCGCCGCCCGATGGCTCCGCCGGCGAGCATGTCCTACCCCTCACCTACTTCGACGTCGTATGGATACACTACCATCCAATCCAGCGTCTTATTTTCTACCCGTACCCATGCTCCACCGACATATTCCTGCAGAAAATCGCGCCTAATTTGAAAATTTCGCTATCTAAAACCCTCGCTCACCATCTTCCCCTCGCCGGAAACTTAATCATCCCCAGGAGTTCAGATCGGCTCGAATTACGCTACTCTCAGGGAGACTCAGTTCAGGTAACCTTCGCCGAATCGAATGGGGATCTGGATTTCGGTCACCTGACCGGAAACAATCCCCGGGATTCCAATCAATTTCATGTACTCGTGCCGGATTTGCCCAACCCGAAGTCCGAGTTAGGATTTGACGAAGTCCCTGTATTAGCCGTACAAGTTACCCTTTTCCCTGAAACAGGGATCGCCATCGGCATCACCAACCATCACGCAGCTGGGGACGCGAGCTCAATTGTCGGGTTTATCAAAGCCTGGAGCTCGTTAGCCAAGCTCAGCGATGGCGAAAACGTAAAGGTAGGTGAAAATGGAAACCTTCCATCTCCTCCCCTCTACGACAGGTCCCTGATTAAGGATCCATCGGGCCGGGCCGACTTATACTTGAACCAGATGCGGGCTCTTAAAATCGGGCCGCTTCCCCTCACATCCGCATCGAACAAAGTCCGGGCAACGTTTGTTCTGCAGAAAAATGAGATCGAAGCCTTCCGGAACTTGCTGTCGGCCCGTTACCCGGCCCTGGCCCACCTATCGTCCTTCACGGTGACTGCAGCCTACGTGTGGGCCTGCCTGACCCAAGCCGATGTGCCTGTCAATGACGATGAGCCCGAATACTTCGGGTTCGCCGTCGACACCCGAAGCCGCCTCGAGCCGCCCCTCCCGGCTTCGTACTTTGGGAACTGCCTGGCATTTGCTTTTGTGGAGATTAAGCACGGTGAGCTGAGGAGTGAAAACGGGTTTCTCACGGCTGGGAAAATGATTGGGGAGCTTATCGCGAACAAGGTGAATAAGAAGGAGGAGTTGCTAAGAGATGCGGATGAGTGGCTGGTGAAGTGCTGGCCGTTGCTCGGCAAACGAGCCTTTTCAGTGTCGGGCTCGCCAAGATTCGATTTGTATGATGGTGCGGATTTCGGGCTGGGGAAGCCCGTGAAGTATGAGGCGGTGTCGATAGATGGGGACAGGTCGATGTCGCTCTGTAAATCGAGGGATTTCGAGGGGGGTTTGGAGATTGGTTTGTCTTTTGCGAGGGAGATTATTGATGCTTTTGGATCTATCTTCTATCATAGGTTGGAGATGAGGTAAATTATTCTTGTTTTAAAGTTTTCACTTCTTGTGGTTTATTTGTTGTTGTAGAGTGTGAGACTTGTTGTTGATGGTTGAGTTGGATTTTTCTGAGTTGGATTGCAAACGAGTCGAGTCTAATTGAACATTATCTTATCGATCAAGAATTGATTTTTTTTTTCTTGCTTGTGCTTGAGAGCTCTGACTAATGAGATTGACTCAAGTCTCAATGTTCCGTAGTGTTTGAAAGTTGTAAAAACACCCAGCATTGTAAGGCACAAACCTCATAAGTCTCAGCGACCTTGTCGCAGAAGATTTTGAACCTCGAAAGTCTCAGTGACCTCGTCGCAGTTGATTTCATGCGGAGTGTCGCCGGTTAAAAAAGCCATTACAAAAACGAGAAAGTTTGACACATTCTGAAACCATTTGACCAGACTCCGAACATAGGAAAACAATAAAGGAACAGAAAAGAGGAAGATGATAAGTTCTAGTTCTATATTTGTGGCATATATTTCAAATTAAGTGTTCATGAAGTTAAACACCACAATTGTATTTCAACGAGAAATATGAAAAGCATTGCCAAAATAGATGAATAAATTGAAATGTTCTGAGTCGTTCAAGCATAATTTTTCAAGGGATGATAGATCGAACTAGTGTCTTTTTTCCAAGGGCTGAAAGTAGTAACCCGGCCCAAACCCAACACGAAACAGGCCTAGTCCAACCCGTGACCACGGGTTGGGGCCAGTGCCAGGATTTACACCGCCGGTTCATGGTCACCCATTGTAACATATGACCGCCCGGAAGGCCTGGCTGCGAAAAATCAATGGTTTTCAAATTTATTTTTCTTTTAGGTTTTTTAATTTTATTTTTTAGGACAGGTCATGGGCCATGTACTAGGCATGTATCTAGGTACGGGCCGGTTAAAGGGCCATTTCGACCCTCAAAAATCCACCGGGCCAGACCCGAGACCAAGCCCGGCCCAGAAATTGGCATGTCTATATTAAAGTAGTGACAATTTTACAAGGGATGATAGAACTAGTATTGTTTTTTCCTGAGTTGTTCAAGCGTCAGTTTCAAAGACTGAAAGTAGATGCCATGCCACTGTAGATGACACATACATACAAGATACAAAATACAATAATCAAAGCTGTACAAGTGATTAATAATCCTTGTCCGATACAAGATACAATATCCAAAATACAAGTTGGCCATCAACAACACATCCCACTCCACAACACTAAACAATAGGAAAATGGAAAGAGACAAAAACATCACATCTTCAACCCATGATAGAAGTCCAAAATAAAAATAATAAAAAAAAACTTTAACCACAATACAATTGAATTTAAAGACCAAGAACAAAGATAAACCATAGATCAACTCTTCATAACAATAAATAAAGGGAAAATGTTATGGTCACCCTGCGAAACCATGCCGTGGAGATTTGTAACCGCCAGATGAACTATTCCCACAATTATATGATAATGTAACGGTTACAAACCTAAAGCCCCCGACGATACTGACAATGATTCCATAACAAAACCTAGTTGATACAATGAAATGATTTCATAACAAGACCGACCGAAACATTTTCTTAAATAAAAGTCTTCCTAAATAAAAGGTAGTATATTTGCAATTAAAAACAAAATACTCACAAATGTGCAAATCAACATAATTCATATGTGAATTTCATATTTTTTTTTTCATCTCAAAATTAATAGAGCTTGTTAAAATAACATCAAATAATTATAAACCATAACATCTTTTCATAAAACAAAAAAAAAACCCATAATTTAGAGACATAATAACAAAACCTACAGATCAAAAGCTGTCCACTGGCATCATAATCACATAATAAAGCTTAATCAAATACCTACATAATTATAATTAACGCAAGCACCATAGTCCCCAACCTTCAGTGGCCCGCCCTGGACTTCATAACCTGCAGAATAAGCTTGGCCTGTTCGAGCTTCACCTCATAATGCCTCAAAATGATCTCCACCTCTTCAATCTCGAGCTTCCTCCATTCGTCCTCATCAGAAGGAACCTCGTTAACTACACCAGAAGACATTGGTTTCGTTGAGTGCTCCGATGAGTCAATTTCCTTGTCGGAAAACAGTTGGGTCGTTGAGGGTTCCGATGAGTTGATTTCCTTGTCAGACGAGGAATCGTTGTCGTCTTCCTCGCCGGAAGAGGTTTCAGATAAGTCGATTTCCTCGCCGGACGATGAATCGGCGTCGGCTTCGGAGATTTGAGAAGGGATAGGATCCTCGGCCTTCCGTTTGTTGGACATTTTCGTTATAGAGATTTTTTTTCTTCTTCTAATTAGGGATTTTTCAAAGGGACGGCGGATGAATGAGGGAGAAGGATAAGGGGTCGAGAAGAGATATTTATATTAGGTTCAATAGGGTTTGCTTCTTAATTAGGAAGTTTAAATGGTTTTGGCTTTTGATATTCCCGAAGATAATTGCACTTATTAATTAACGGAAGGAAATAAAATTTGATCTCCTTCTTTTTTATTTTTTATAATAACATATCGGGAAATTCTACGATCATATCACGCAACCATTTCGTAGAGTTTGTAATCGTTAAATCAACTATCTATAACGGATGATGATTTAACAGTTACAAATCCCGACGTAATGGTTTCACAACAGAACAGTAGTATTTTTCTATCATATTATATGTTTTTTTAAATAAAAAAACTTATAAATAACCAATAAGAAAATATTTTTTTATAAATATTATTTCGCATTTTAAGAAAATATTTTTATGAAGTATTATTTTTTTAATATAATATGTATTATTTTTGTCAAAATTAAATAATTAATTTATTAATATAACGCCCGTGAACTACATGAATGCTTGAAAATTAAATATTTTTATCGAAATAAATAAGTGAAGAAATTTATATTATTATGATAGAATGGTAAAAAAGTTAAAAATACAACTAATAATTAAAAAAATTAATATTATTTGAAATAATAAACATGTTTTATACTCCAATTTGTCAAAATAATATTTCAATTAGAAGGATCAATCAATGTAACACAATATAAATTATTGACAGAAAAAAGAAGTTTTTGCTATGCCAAAGCGCTCTTGAAGCTTGACGAGGTTCATTCTCATTATCAAAGTGTCCTGCAATTACCGGCTTTATGAACCTCACCTTGTCGACTCCAGCAATGAAGAAATTGTAGCAATGGTTATAAGCAATGGTATAGCAGTCAAATTTTAATTAAATAGATCATTCAACATGTTAGATAACATGATCACTACGAAACAAAATAAACGAGACCAATATAGGGCGAGAAAAAAAAAAAGGGATAAATATATGACGAACGAGCTCTGATATGGTCACCCATCGTCAAGGAGGTCTTTGTGCACGAACATGCAAGAAGTGCTGCAGTATTTGTACTGATAGCGATGAAACGGCACTATACCAGCCAACGACACGTTGCAGCACGAACACGACATATCGTCTCCACTTATATTATTATTATTATTATTATTGTTTGTCGTCAAATTAGAAGGGCCCGCTGCTCGTGTTTTTGAGGCTGTTAATGCTGCCATTCGTTTCTCGGCAGCAGCTGCTCTCATTTCCCTTTCCTCTTGGATTCTTCTTTGTTCCTCCTATTTAGTAAATTTATACAAAAAAGAATAGATAAAAATTAGCAGTCCCATTTGTGAAAAATAAAATAAGGGCGATTTTGCGTAAGAACACGCAAGAAAATGATCAGATGTGAATAACTAACGGCATGATAGAAGTCACAGGGAAATAAACGTTAAAATGAAAGTAATCTCAGCCGATTTTATTTTGCTTTACTTAACACTTAACAGAAATGTTATGAAGTGGTGACTAGAGATTGCAAATTACCTCTTTGGAAGCTACAGCAGAACTGAGACCTATAGGAGAAGAAACAGAGGCACTTGCAGGATTACCCGTATCATTCGCGGATTGAGTTGCATCCACCTGCTTTTAGACAAATATATGCAGACAAATACGAGCACTAATCTTCAACAAGATCACATTTCGGAAAAGCAAACTCGGAAAGAATCTAAACAAGTACTTCAACATTTATTATGAAACTAACCTGGGCCTTTTTTTCTTTGGCTTTCTTCAGCTTCTTCAACTCTTTTGCTTTCGCTTTTCTCTTGGCATCTTTCTCCGCCTGGTTCATGGTTTTACAATTTATGCAAAACAAAATAAGAAAAAATACAAAAGCAAGCAAAATATTGAGTGCATGAAAAAAATAATCGAAGATTGAGAGAATTTAACGTTTGAAACTAACTGAAGAGAACCAGTAAGAAATTAAATATGTTTTACCTGCTTAGCAGCTTGAGATTCTTCCATCTCCTTTGTTAAAGCACTCGGCACCTTAGCAGCATGCCAATCCCATCTTTCGAGATTAAGAGCCATAAAACGCCTAAAAGTATTTCTCACCTCTTTGTCCCTTGCAAGCATGTAAGGCGTTTGGTCCCTCTCGTCCTTGACACATGGATCGAGACCCTGTACAAGAAGTTCCAAAACCTTTTCCGAATCCCCAGATTTTGCAGCTTCATGTAAGGGCATTGACTTGGCAGAAGTATCATCATTCGTTTTCGACTCGGATAATAAAGACAAACCATCAATTTCATTCACAAGCGAACAAGACTCACTGATTTCAGTTCCCTCCGAATTTTCTCCAGACTCCAATTTACTGATTTTAGTTCCCTCATTGCTATTAGAAGACATTTCCTGTTTTATCTCGGGGGAAATTTGTATCAGTAGGCTGTATATTCTTTTAGCTTCCTTGAATGTGGGCCTCCTAACAGTCATGGGAATATTTCTTATCGCACGACAGGTGAAGTGAGGTTTATTATCCCCATCGAAAAAGAGTTGGCGGTTACTTGAAGGGCCGTAGATAAAAACACACGTGGCAGCTATAAAATGAGACTTCCATGAAGCAAGTAATTCTTGAATATCCTGGTTTGTTCAAGAAATGCGAAAAAGGCACACTCTTAAAAGGTGTAAAATTGAAATTAAATAAAAAAAATTAAAAAAAAAAAAAGATGTTTGTTGTTTCTTTTGTGCTTAGTTTGAGAAGTGATGCAAGGTCTATTAGTTATGCAAAGTAATAATTATTATTATTATTAACATTATTATAATAGTATATAAATTATATTATAGACCTTTAAACTGAATGAATCAGGAACAAACAAACCTTTTTTAATGCAAGCTCATTATATCGACGAAGTGAAGCTCCAGCAGAATGAATAGACCTGCCACCTGCATCTTTTGACGACTGCTTTTTCCCAGCCTTTGCTCTAACTACATATCTACATGTACATTGAATTTTTGCTAATTCCATATTTACCATGATAAGGAAATTTTAAAAAAATGGGTCGGTATGCAAATAAGCAATTCAACTGAGTTCCTAATTAATCAATAAAGACTGATTTATGTTCTCTCGAGTGACATTACACGTCAGAATGCAGAAGTCAGACAAACCAAAAGTTAAAGAACCAACAAAGATGAAGAACTGACCTGTGGAAAGTCTTATGAGCCAATAGGGAATTACCATCGAACACACATCCAGCAAAATGTCCACCCCTAGAGAGTAAAACAATCCGCAAGCATGTACCATCTCTCGGTTCACGAATTATGTATTTCAGTTTTTCACTCACCTCTTTCTGAGTCAAATGCGTAACTCCGGCCCCATCAGTGGAAAGGGACTTATCAGCTTCGAACGAAATACTTTCAGACTCGTCTAGCAGTAAACATTTCCAAATCGAAACTCTCTCACCGTTCTGCAACTCTATAAGTATTTTACTTTTTAAGAATCCGCCAAATTCCCTTTGCCTGTCAGATAAGAGACCAGTTTCTCGTTCATCCTCATCATCCGATCCCGAAATACTGGATACATCGTAGTCTTTACACAACGAGTCAGATGCTGCTCCATCAAAATCTTCCTCCTTAATAGTACTTTTACCAGCAACGCTTAGCTTTATCTGTAATCACACACTTTTCGCATAAACCGAGATATGAAATAAAAGACAATAGTAACAACTAGTGCACATTGTTGCTTGCAATAAAGGCAAGGGGTAATCACAACTGATACAAAAGGGACAATGCTACAGCAAGAACTTAGATACTTCATCATTCTTATTAAGATAAGAGTAATTGACACAATAACTTGACAATTGAGATTGTTATGAATAATCCCAATTAGTGCCCACAGAGGCACGTATTTTTTAAATTTAAGACCACATAACCAATACTAGCAACTAGATATAGAACTAAAATCTCGAGCCATAACCTAATTTTCAATACCAGATACAATACCCAAACTAACTGAAGCATAACCGGTTGCTAAATCATTTAGAACTAAAATCTCGAGCCATAACCTAATTTCTCAATACCAGATACAATACCCAAACTAACTGAACCATAATCGGTTGCTAAATAAATTATCCCAGAAATTAGATACGAACCCAACTTATCCAAGTCAAATTAATCATCAAAGATTCAATTTTTCCTACTCGAAATCGGGCCCTTTAGTGCCTCAACACTTAATCGAAGATATGATTTAATGTTTTTTGCCAATCTGCTAAATAATTAAAAGAAAAGGAAATAAATCCATTCATAGGACGAAAAGAAAAAAAAAATCATACATACATTGAAACGATGGAGATCGGATTTGAAGTGAAATCGCTGGTCTTGGAGAGACTCAAATTCTGACTTACAAGTGTTGCAAGACCATTTTTGCAGGGCTTGAGTATCGGTACCGCTGCTACTTAGGCTAACCTCTTTCTCCGGATTCGGTTCTTCTAGGTCATAGGCGGCGGAATCCGGCAGCGGAGAAAAAGGGGAGTGCAGAAGGCGGCAGGAATCGAAGAAGTCCGCCGGCACCTCGAATACTGAACGGTGCCGTTTCGCATCGTCTTCCTTGATTTGCCTTTTCGGGAGCGGTTTCGCCGGCTTGTTCTCGGCGGCGGTCGCCATTAGAGCCACTCGTATGGGCTTTTAGCTGTAACAGTGTGACGTAGGCAGAATAAAAAATATCAACTCAATTCGATTTTTTTTTTTTCTCTGATTGGCCGGTTGTGTGATTTTCAGGGGCTACTACAAGTGCAGCGCGGCGAGGGGCTGTCCGGCGAGGAAGCACGTGGAGAGGGTCACCGACGACCCGGCGGTGATGTTCGTGACCTACGAGGCGGAGCACCGGCACACGGAGGGCGCGATGCAGGGGACGTTTTTTGCGGCGGCGCGTGTAATTTATATATTAGGGTCTCGTTGGGATTTTGTTATTTGGGAGAAAAAATGAAAACTCGTGAGGGATTTTTATTTCTTGATGGGATAATAAATCTCAATAAATGGAGTCCTAATTTTACTTTTCAATAAATTTCTATACATAACTAATTTATTGTGAATGTTTTTTATTTGTGTTGTCAACCTAGTTGTACACTAGGTTGACAATGTAGCATTTCTCATTCTTCTAATAAATAAAGGTAACAAATAAAATGTAATACAATAAATAATAATTTCAATATATCTTCGAGACTTAGAGTCGACTAAGATATGCTAATGTGATCTCGTCTACATCACAGTGATTGCAAGGGATTTATTATTTAGTGATGAAATCGTTTGATGGGAAATTTGTTTGTAACATCTCGAAATATTTGATTTTTTTATTGCTCCTAAATTATACCTACATAATATATGCCTTGTGAAAATTAAAACTAAAAGTTTGTTTGATAATCACTCTAAAAACTTCAAATAGATTAGTTTATAAGTTTTTTTTTTCTATTCAAATAAGCTTTATTTCCTTGGTAGCTTTTTAAATACCCATTATCATACCAACTAATTTTCACTCATAAACCATAGGTGCAAAATTCACTTATAAACTATCAACTATTAACTAACTTATCAGCTATCATCTAGAATTATCAAACATAGTCTAAAACAATACAAACAGTTGTTTGTAGATGGCACACATGCATCATTTAGAGCTTTTTTACCTCATGATGAAATGAAAAAAATAAAGTATA